AATATTTCTATTATCCTAGCGTCTAACTTAGATAAATGGTGTGATGCTCGAGAAACGTGGAAAAACAACTTTGTACTTTTGTTAACAAATTGGTCCTCTCTAATGTAAAACAATGTTCTTATTAAATTGTTTTGCCTCGCTTGTGGACAAAATTAATGAAAGGTTTTATTATCCTAGCTCTCTAAAGTAATCAAAGATTTTTATTGTGCTTGAGAAACGTAAAACCACATTCCAAAATTTCTCATATCTATTGAAATTCAAAGACTTGTGACACATAAACTAATATTTATATGTTATGTTTTGTATTTTCAGGGATCATCTAACTCCTATGCTATCAAGAAGAAGGACGAGTTGGAACGTGTTGCTAAGTCCAACCGATAAGCACTACAGTTGTACATTAATTTTTGTGTACATTTTTTACACTTACAAAATTACAAAGATGATTTATTGAAAAAATAAAGAAAATATACAGTTTGGTTCAATTCGTGTTATTTTTTATTTTAAAATTTGATAAAATAAATTGAATTTCATGCTTATAGTTAATCCCATTAGTAGTAAGGTCATGGAAAACAATAGATAGACAGAAATAAGTTGAGGTTTTTGCACAGCGACTTATGATCTATTGTACCCTCTCCTATATCACATATGGACATAAAGGTCCAGCACTCTGAAAAATCTCAGGAGCTTGCTGTGAGCAATGGATGTAATATGGTCCTTGTCCACATAGATGGATCATAGAAAACGATTCAGTACGTAATATTAGAAGTGCGGGGGTGTGTGCATATATACCATGCGAGTTTTTTATGGCGTGCAGGTATACAACATCTCTGTTTTTATTTAGCCTGCCTTACTGTATATTTCTTGAAATCTTGGCAACACTAATTCATTTTGTGTAGCTGTCAAATTTTAAATTTTTTCCCGCGGCGTATTCGTGCCATAATAATTTAATACAAATGGAAATGTGGACATGTCCAATGTCGGCACAGTATCAATTGAAAAGGAGAAAGATTCTTCTCAAATATCGCAATCGTAAGCACAATCGATTTTTTTTTTTGTTGATAAACTTATAATAGACAGAATTTACAGATTTCGAGACCAAAAACTAATTGAAAGATTTGTTCGACACAGCCAACTGCTCAAAATTATTGAAGGGGCAACAGAACTATTTATAMAAAGATGTAATAGCAAGAAGCCGGAAGACGCATTAGGTGCTCTATTTGTACCTCTTCATTTTGAGTACACCCATTTTATACACAATAATGCTAATGAATTGTTGCACCAGCTAATCGAAGAACCATTACAATTTTTGAACGCTGCCAAATACTGCGTTTATGGGATTGTTCGTGATCAAATTAAATTATCTGGAAACACAGTAGAGAATAACGCACTTAAGTCTATTGACATTGACCAGCTTCACATTCAACTGAGATTCATCGGATTACCACTCCAAGAAGATTTGCACTTTGCACAGTACAAAAACTGTTGGCCGTCAGGGCTCTCATGGACAACTGGAATTTTGTCGGCAATATCGGAACCTCAGTGGGCAATGTCAGATTTTCTTGAATATTTAATTTTTTTTATATTCCTTAGGAATTTTAGATAATCTTTTGAATAATATACAGCATTTATATATAAATACTCTATAATACTCAAAACAGACATGGACATACGCTTTTCTGAAAATATATCTTTTATAGTTTACAGTCGACGTGGTTTTGTTCAACCGGCTGCAATCGTAATAAAATTAAATCAGACTCTATAGATGGTAATATTACATTACATGAAATCATTCCTTATATATTGAATTTTAATCAATTTAGCACCGATATGCAATAGCTGTGGTCAGCATATGAATGAATATTCAAAATTGCGTGTGACTGAGAAATATCATTTTCTGCGCTTACTTCCCACCTGTTGTATTGAAACCCCCAGAGTTGTGAATAAAATTTTCCGTGCACTAACTGTGCATTGCAAAGGTACTATAAAACGTTTATATATGTATATATATATTATACCGTTATTTTTAATGTAAGTGATGAATAATTTAAACTTCTAAAGTCTTGCATASATATGTAGTTAAAAGCTTAATTTTTAAAATTTTACAGAACACGTCCACGATTGCGAACTGCGTCTTGGAACTAGCTACTTCGTAATTGGTTACTACGATTACACGCGTGTTGGTCAAATTTTTCAAGCATGGAGCATAACCATACGTTAGAAAGTACTTTTGCAATGAGCCTGAGGAACATAACAGATAATGAATTAGACGCCCTATTGCACTTTGATAGTCCGCCACCGACTATTAAATTTTCCCAAAGCACTAATCAAGATGGAAAAGAGGGTAACGGAGGTACTGAAGAAGCTAATGAAACACTCAGTACTTTACAGTTTAATCGCGAAGAGCTTTCTTCGGAAATGAGTTCACAAGTTGGCTACGTAAACTATTTTCGAGATGATTTAGATTTTACCCTAAAGTTTACTCAACAAAGTTCAGGGCAACTTGATCCCATGGTAATAAATTCGATGGAAGTTGAGAACATTGAAATAAATGATACCGAGGTAACAACACCAGAAACTGAAAAGAAGCCAACTAWTAATGCCATTGAAAGAAAAGAAGATTTAACGAGTAGAACTGTTCATGTTATAAAAGAGTCATCTAATGGTAACAATACTGATGCAATGGGTTACATCGAAGAAATTATAAAAAAGGAGCTCCTTGATCTTACGGCAATAGAAGACTTTTCCGATGATGATGGGTTTACTGCTTTCAATGATGTGAACTTGAATGTTTCTACAGAGCTTGAGCAGTCAAATTACGGTGGCGCAAATATAGAGCGTATGGTAAGGAAATAAACAGAGCATATATACTTACATACATACATATATACTACATATAATGGAAATTGTGATATTTCAGTGCCAATCTCAAATGACAGCACCAAAGAAAGAAACTATACTTGACAAACAAATATACACGTCATGCCCAGTAGAACTTCATAAAGATCATATCCCATCTTTACCCAGTACTATTTCTCCGGCTAAACAAAGCGAAATCGTGGATTATGCACTTAAAAGCGTTAATAARTGTAATTCACCAACAGCAAATGTCAAGAGTCTCTTGCCTCCAAAAGAGTTCAATGCTAGTGGAGTTACAGGTATAATAGACTATAGTTTTACCAGTGATTTGGGCAGTGTACCCGCATCTGTGAAACAATTATACGATCTGGTGCGGGCTCAGTATTCTGATTTTGCTTTCGTGTATGCATTAAGTGCACAACTTTGTCAAGATCGTGTACCAATGGATTGTTTCGTTAATTTAAAAATGGGTTTACTACTTAGCTTGGCTTCCATTAGTGTAGGTAATTTGCCGTGAGCTTAAAAAAGTACTAATTACATAGTTACAGACAAATCCCGATCGCCCTCCAATACCTATAATGGTGTTCGGCAGTGATACATACATAGCCAATTATTTACTTATAAACATTGCACAACTGGCGGARCGGTTTGTTGGGCCAGCTGATGTCGTAAAATCGCCCTTTTGCGGAAACTATCGCAATTGCAAATGGATTGTAGCGGATCCTATCTTGTTGGCAAGTGGAGGAGTGTACTTCGCTGGCGATTGGTCGCACCTGAAGATGACCCGGATGGATCATGTTTTCAGAATCATCGAGTGTTCGCGAGTTCCTGTTGATCATTCTTCGCAAATCTATCCTTTAGGGACCGCAATATGGGCACATTGGCACTCATGCAAAGGCAATTCTAAAGATCAGCAAACATTTAACAAAGTGGTTAAGTAAGAGCCCGTTTCTCGATATGCCTCATATACGATTCTATTTACCTTACATTTAATCAAATAGAGATTGCTTATAATGCACAGTTAACTTCTTAAATGTTACAGGAGAACAAAATCTTCATAAGAATTTCACTTTAAAAATTCGTATTTATTTATTTCGTCTTTATTGTAAAAAAAAAGAAGTGTTGACTAAAAACTTCAAATATTTCCAACATTAAGAAAGTTTGAATAAGTATTTATACATTTTAAAATACAACTCATTTACTATTTTACTTAATCACATCCCTACATAATTTACAGAATATTTGGTATTGCAATTTGCATGGACAACGATCAAAAACATGAAGTGCTCGTGGACTATATATTAGAGCAATCGTCTGTAAAGATCTTCGAATCGACCGTAGACCACTTGTCAATTAGCAGCGAAGACATGCGTTGTTTTCTAAGGACAATTTCAAAACACTCAGTAGACCTGACTCCAGAAGCTTCGCAATTATTACAACAATATTTCGTAACTTCACGTTTCGCGCGCCCCGGTAAATATTTACAATAATATACTTATACTGGTATATACAAGTATTATAGCAATTGTCAAAAATGTATATTTCCAAACAACAGAATGCCTGACGAAACAAGCCTATGTCGTATTGAAACAATTTGCTGAGTCTTTTGCAAAACTCTGCTTCCGCCACGAAGTGTTGGTATGTGATGTCGTTGCAGCTGTTTTTATGTGCGAACGTTTTTTACGAAGTATTTTCGGTGTGAATGAAAATTCTCCGCCGGCATTTGAATCACATAATTTTGTGGGCTCTGTGGATGCGCACATGTTGAAATTTCAAGACTGGCTGAACGCCTACATCAAAAAATTTCAAGACAAATAATTTCATATTATATGCTATTCAGCTTTTAAGTTGAAAAAATGTTTACATTTTATTTTAGAATCATACCTAAGTCGTAAAGCTTACATATATGTGAGTTATATGATCCACATACATAAATATATGTACATTAATAAATACACTTTTGATATAGTTGTCAAAATTTTTACTCTACCAAATTAGTGAAAAAAATACTTGCCTCAATACAAAATTTAAATTATAAAACTATGATATACCATATAAATATGTATGTACACTTGTACACTGAAATCTGTATTCGAAAATAAAATTTTCCTCAAATAGCAACGAAATTAGAAACACACTCATTGCAAATTATTGGAAAGGCACTGATATTTAGAAACATATGTAATTATATTTGATTAGTTTAATAGGATGATTTCAGTACTTTACTCAAGTATATCGAAAACTTTGGAATAATTGCCGTTTTTTTTTATTGTTTCCTTATTGTTGCTTGTAGGTTTGAGCTATAGTTTCACTTATTCAATGCTTATAACTAGCTTAAACCTATTTAAAAGCTATGATCATATACAGTTTTTAATTAATCGATTAATTGTTAAACGCCTATAATCATGCAAGGTATGTGTGAGCAGTAGGCCAATCTAAAATTATCTATTCTTAGTAGTCTAAATTCCCTTGAGCTCCAGTAATAATGGCGTCGATCCATATTCTTGCCGCAGCATCTGATGCCGCCTGCAGATGGTAGCTGCGCTTCTTAGTTTTAACGATTAATGTGCAATGTGGCCGTCCACTTTTCGAGACATTTAAATGGTCCAAATATACTTCGTCTATTGTCTGGAAAAGAAGTAACAACCAAATTAATTATTCCTTAAAGTACTGGCAAGGTATGGCAATAGAAAATTTAGGTAAAATGTCAAAAATTACAAAAATAAATGTTTTTTATATAAAATTTTTAAGCGAGCATGAAATTCTAATATCCAATTTTAAATAGTGTCTGCCAATACCGACACTATTTAGTTACTTTATACATAAATTGAATAATCGAACGCACTCTATTATGACAACCAATCAGATGGAAGTGGATGACACCGACACCGAAGAATTCCAAGACATCGAAGAGTTCTCCGATGAGGCACCATCTTGCAGCAATACACAGCCACAATCGAAGCGCTTTGTAGTAAAAAAGTTTCAGGCACAGGCGCTCTGGTCGTGGGATGTGGCCGTGGACAATTGCGCCATTTGTCGCAACCAAATTATGGATCTGTGTATTGAGTGCCAGGCGAACCCGCTGTGCTCTGGCACCAAGGAGGAATGCACTGTGGCCTGGGGTGCCTGCAACCATGCCTTTCATTTCCACTGCATTTCGCGTTGGCTCAAGACCCGCCAGGTGTGTCCGCTGGACAACAAAGAGTGGGATTATCAGAAGTACGGACGTTAGCCTATAGTATTGGTTTGACTTGATTATTTCGTAATGTTTCTAAGACACATCTATATTTTGTTAGCTTATTTACAAACACACATTTGTATTCTACAATAATATCGAATTCGGGAGACCTATTCAAATAAAAATATATTATATTTCGATTTATTCTAAAACTTACCGAAAAGTAGGCACCTCCTCTGGGTTTTCGCTCCGATTTATCCGCGTAATAGATGAAAGCKCTTCGCTGGCGATCAAGTACGAACCATCGCCGAGCCCAGCCGTGGAAAGTAGCGCCCAATTTATGCAAATAACTGTAAATATTTATATTTCGCAGCGATTTAATAAAAATTCATATAAACAAATCGGGTAAACTAACAGAAGAATAACGCAAATTTACGTTCACTTACCCTCGACAACTGAAGGCATCCACAAAGACATGCGGGCATAGCGTAATCTGGTGCCCAGCCGACTCTATGTGATGGCGCAAATTAAGATCCGGCGAAAAAATTGGCAGATAGCGTGTCAACGGACGTTGATGTTTGGGCAGAACACGTTTCCGATCGCCTTGCGCACTACCGCTGACGCTACCGCCTGACGTAGTCTCGTTGGAATTTACACTCGAACGCTTGTTGCCCGCCTCGGCGACGTCGCTGGATATACGCTCGGTGGAGTATACATTGTTTACTTTTGTGGCGGTACTTGGTGACGCAGTTGACAATTCAAAGTTGGACTTGCACGTACCTTTGTGTTCGCCTTCTAGCAAATTGCAACTCAACTCCGAATTGGCCTCTGATAGTGGCCGTGGACTGGATGGCGATTGACGTGGTTGTGTTTCTATAAATTCAGGCTGCGAGTGACGTTGCTGCAAAGTAAACAAAGTGTAAATTAATGTAAATTTATTCGAAACTAATTATAGCTTGTTATAGTTAAAAATAGAATGACACACATATATACATATTTATGCATGTATGCATGCATGTATGTACATACGGAGAGTGCATTAGAAATGTTTAAATGAAATCGGGAAAATCGAGAATTTGCTGACCAAGAGCCATGGGCGACATGCTCATACATTTGATCTTCACACACTTTTCAGCGCACTATTAATACACCAAGTATTTACAATCACCTAGAAGGTGTTATACTTTTGGCGGGTAGCCAACGTATGGTACTTAAAAAAAAAGTTCGTTTTGAAAAGTGTAAAAAGTAGTGTTTGTCAAAGCCTATTTAACGAAATACAGAATGAAATTTGAAAAGCGGGAAAGCAAACTTTTATGGTTTCACTTCTAGGTTACCTGAACCCGACTCTTTTGGCATATATTTCTAAGCTAAAAGTGRATTTGCATTTAATTTAATGACGTTGAACTTTAAGCACGTTCAATGGGCAACTCCCAACAAGATATTATTTAATAACAACAAAGCTAAATTATAAAATGAGTGCCTAATATACATACATATGCCTAACATGAACTAAGCACTAACTTTTAAAGAATTGAAAAAATAGTTTTTTAAACACTTTTCCAAATTACACTCACTCATATGTATGTATGTATTTACGTTCTAATACATTCATATATAGTTGTCCACTTGATTTTACAACTTTTCTTATTGTTTTCTCACTCCACACTCACTTGATAGTAGCACTCAGTTTTATAACGTTTATTTGAGTCTGCATGACGATGTTTCACATAATTCATCCAAACTGACATGATTAACCTTAGAATTTCTCTTTAATTTGTTGTTAATGTAGATTTTTTTCTTGGCTTAAATTTTATATTCGTGTTTCTACGCGACGCGTATGCTTTATGAATTTTAATTCAATAAATTCTCTTTTTTCGCAGTTATGCGGRTTTTATAGGCATCCAAACAGTGTGAGAAGTTAAGAAATACTGAAATTTTTATATTCGTGCGATCATTTAGCCATTTAAACTGAGAATAATTTTCCCAGTGCAAATTCAAGTGTATTTAAGTTGTCCAGAGATGTGTAGGYCACATGCAGGAGATAGCAATTAAGTTTGCTTAGAAAATTCAACATCGCGTGTACTCTTTTGAGCATCAGTGAAATAAATTAGGAGCACCTTAATGGACTTGATGGTTCATTAGGTTCAATATATTATATCAAAGCAAGTTTAATGTTATTTATATTAAGTAATTATATCACAATACTGGAACGATTTTACTTTTTACTGGAACACATTTATACATTTTTTCTCTGTTTTCAAAACCTTTTTCCTAACTTTGTATGAGAACAGCAGATGTCAAGCGTTAGGAGAAAAAACTTTGGCGAATTTTTCCAACAAGGCAAACTTTTTCTAAATAGATATATCGTTTAAAAATATTCTCCGATGAGTAAGAGCTAATGGACTATCCGAGAAATGGAAATTACGCGTACTTCTCGTAAAGCATATAAACACTATATCGACGGCCATATATGCATGTGTACTACATTAGCAATTTTCACAAATTCTCCACCTTATTGGAGAATTTTCCGCTCTCAAAATTATGACTAATAATTAATATACAATTAGGATGAGGGTGAGTCTACAAATATTCGACTAATCTAAGAAATATGTACGTACGTACATATGTAAATAATCTTTACGGGCATCAGTTCGTTACCAGTTTTCGCACCGTCTATTTTTCATATTTTGCCGTTCCGATATGTTTTTAATTCAAGATTAACACAATTGAAAACTAATTAACAGCTTTCGGTGTTAAAGTTACATATGATTCGAATGAAATTTTAAAATATTTATGTATTAATCGCAAACAAATTGAACCACACATTTTGGAACGGTTTAGAATAAGTGATTTTAGACACTTTTCCTCAATGTACGGTCACACCTAAAAGTAGGCTGATTGCTAATTTGTACTATAATTCATTGATGAATACATACATACATATATATACATATGAATCTAATACTATCTCGGAAAGACAAATAAAATTTGTATTGATTTATAATTCACCATTCCGTGGCCAAAATGAAATGAAGCATAATGAAATAAAATTGAAATTCTCAGAATCTGTTTAACAACCGCCTGCGGAAGTAAATATTTACCCYTCGCGCTCAATTACGCTTGTTCCGTTTGCAAGCTATGAACAAATTGGCGCGTAATTTTGTGTTTTGGTGAATAACAATTCGCCAGCTTCTATATTTTTTATAAGTTGTTTTGGGATGAAAACAAACTCTGAATTTATGTTTGTATGTATATTTTACGTAGGTCTGCAGGCATTCGATCATTAATATGGGGTAATGAGTTATACGTGGGATTGCCCCCGGTTAATATTTTATTTTGAATTAGCCTATGTGCCATATGTATGTATTACTTTTTGTTTACGCATTTGAAGTATAAACATAAACACATTGTACCAACCGTTGAAACATACTGACAATATAAAATTAAAGATTTCATAGATGTGTTGATTAATCTTTAAGGTAAAATATAATCTATATATACGTTCTAAAAAGCATTTGCTTTCATATGCAGACAAAAATGTGTGGTTTATCACCAACACCACTTATGACGAAAGTAATTTTTATGACGTTGGATTATGTATTATTAATTATTTAAAAATAGCAACGCAGTCTAATTTCATTGATAACTTTTGACTCAATGGCTTTTAAAAGCTTACAAGTAAATCACAAAAGCCAAATCTTACCTGACTAGATCGATCCGCTTGTGGAGAAAGAGTTGTTCCATTTCCGAATGTTGAGTTCTTCGTTTGTGACGAACTCACGCCCGCTTGGATCTCATTGGTGGTTTCATCGC